ACTTAGGCATGGCATATCTGAGTCATACATTTATAACGTCCAACATATCGAAATACACATAGGATATATTGGGGACGTGCTTGTGTGTATGTTCAATGCTGATGTAAAGTTTCCATGGAGTTACAGACATCTTCCTAATTTTCCATCTGTAAACCCTTGAGGAAAATGACTAGCATTGATTACCTTTAACTATTTCTGAATGTTCTTTGCTGATTCCCATAACTGCCTTCTCTCATATTGAACCTGCTTCAGGTTATCTATCTTATTAATCTCAACGTTATTTACAACAAGCTGTATATGTTCTTTGATATCCATGTCCATCAGTATTTAATGGGTGCTTTTGTTTCCCACGTACAGGTAATTTCTTATCTGCTTCTCATAAAGAAATGTACAGCCATATTCAGCATTGCTGAAAGTGCTTTGAGTAGCAGGAAATGGAATGACCAAACATCTCTCCCAGCAACCATCTACATTTTAAAACAATCTTGATTTTCTGTGTAATTTGATGTTCTGCCTAACCGAAGGGAAAAATATTGTCAAATTAAACGCAAATGTAGGGCCATTGTCAACAGTCTGTGTAACTTATTTCAAAAGTTACTTCATTCAAAATATCAGTCTTATGTAAATTGAAAAGACTGAGAAATGATTCCATACTCTTCAAGCAAAAAAGCAGGCAGCCTATTTATTCGGATACCACTGTATGTGCTAGAAGCCCTCATAATCCCTGAATGACTGCCATGGGAAAGTAGCAGATGTTTCTTCTTCTTTGTCGAAGTTCTGTGAAGATATTAATCTGCCTAAAGTAAATGAGGATGATCTCTAGATTCAAACATGACAGCTCAACCTGCGCTGTAACTTGAGGGTTATAGTGTTGCGTAGACAGGACTGAAGTCAATATTTGGTCAAAACAGGGCGTCCCAAAACTTGGTGACAATCTATTGTTGGATTTTCCACTGGGCTGTGAGGATGTCACCACATTCTAGATTTCACCGCCATGGTTGGCACGCACGGCACCACGTCGGAACATTCTGCCATTGGTGCCCAGATCAACTATTCTGGAATTACAGGTCTGGTCTGGTTTAGTCTGGTGCTGGAATTATTAGCCACTGGGTGGTAAGTTGGATACATCAGTATTTGTTTGCTGAACCGAGATACTTTATTGAAGGTCTCAGTTCCAAACATGCCTAACCTGAAATTTTATCCCTGTGGTATTTTTTGCACAAATTTATTTTAAGGTTTAATCACCAGACCGATTTTCTATCCTTGCTTTGGAAAATCTTCATAACAGATATTAAAAAATAGCACATTACCATTGGCAGAATATTTAAATATTCTAGCGTGGTTTCACATTGGAAGGGAAAAATACCTGCAGTGTGGCAGCAACTAGAAAATCCAGCAGTTTCATATAACAGCCTTTTTTCTTCGCCATCCATGATGCTGAGTCTTACCAACTCAACATCACTCTGAAAGGCTTATCCCAATAAATCCTATCCTAATATTAAGAAGCTTAACTTACTTTTTTTTTTCTGAATGCAAAATCACAGCTGAAACCGAATTCACTTAAAAATGGTCTTTGTTACGAAAATGGCACTTTTGGAAACATAGGAACTCCTGATTATGGTACTGCATAATAAGTCACAACTCCTGTTTGAACACATCTCTCAGATATAGTGCAACCTTGAAAGAAAAACAAACTGTTTCTGAAAGACCACAACCCTATTTCTTTTTAACTTTCCTCCCAGTATTCTCTCCGTGAAACCAGAAAGACTCGTTAGGCTGAGATAACAAGGTGTAGAGCTGGATGAACACAGCAGGCCAAGCAGCATCACAGGAGCAGGAAGGCTGATGTTTTGGGCCTAGACCCTTCATCAGAAATGGGGGAGGGGAAGGGGATTCTGAAATAAATAGGGAGAGAGGGGGAAGCCGATAGAAGATGGATAGAGGAGAAGATAAGTGGAGAGGAAACAGACAGGTCAAAGAGGCGGGGATGGAGCCAGTAAAGGTGAGTGTAGGTGGGGAGGTAGGGAGGAAATAGGTCAGTCCAGGGAGGACGGACAGGTCAAGAGGGCGGGATGAGGTTAGTAGGTAGGAAATGGGGGTGCGGCTTGAGGTGGGAGGAGGGGATAGGTGGGAGGAAGAACAGGTTAGGGAGGCGGGGACGAGCTGGGCTGGTTTTGGGATGCGGTAGGGGGAGGGGAGATTTTGAAGCTTGTGAAATCCACATTGATACCATTGGGCTGCAGGGTTCCCAAGCGGAACATGAGTTGCTGTTCCTGCAACCTTTGGATGGCATCGTTGTGGCACTGCAGGAGGCCCAGGATGGACTTGTCGTCTGAGGAATGGGAGGGAGGGTTGAAATGGTTCGCGACTGGGAGGTGCAGTTGTTTATTGCGAACCGAGTGTAGGTGTTCTGCAAAGCAGTCCCCAAGCCTCCGCTTGGTTTCCCTGATGTAGAGGAGGCCACAACGGGTACAGCAGATGCAGTATACCACATCAGCAGATGTGCAGGTGAACATCTGCTTGATGTGGAAAGTCTTCTTGGGACCTGGGATGGGGGTGAGGGAGGAGGTGTGGGGGCAGGTGTAGCACTTCCTGCGGTTGCAGGGAAAAGTGCCGGGTGTGGTGGGGCTGGAGGGGAGTGTGGAACGGACAAAGGGGTCACGGAGAGAGTGGTCCCTCCGGAAAGCAGATAAGGGTGGGGAGGGAAAAATGTCTTTGGTACTGGGGTCGGATTGCAGATGGCGGAAGTGTCGGAGGATGATGCATTGGATCCGAAGGTTGGTGGGGTGGTACGTGAGGACGAGGGGGATTCTGTTTTGGTTGTTATTGCGGGGACGGGGTGTGAGGGATGAGTTGCGGGAATTGCGGGAGACACGGTCGAGGGCGTTCTCGACCACTGAGGGGGGGAAGTTGCGGTCCTTGAAAAACGAGGACATCTGAGATGTACGGGAGTGGAATGCCTCATCCTGGGAGCAGATGCGGCAGAGGCAAAGGAATTGGGAATAGGGGATGGCATTTTTGCAGGAAGGTGGGTGGGAGGAGATGTATTCTAGGTAGCTGTGGGAGTCGGTGGGCTTGAAATGGATATCGGTTTCTAGTTGGTTGCCCAAGATGGAGACAGAGAGGTCCAGGAAGGTGAGAAAGGTGTTAGAGATGGTCCAGGTGAACTTAAGGTTGGGGTGGAAGGTGTTGGTGAAGTGGATGAACTGTTCGAGCTCCTCGTGGGAGCACGAGGTGGTGCCGATACTGTCATCAATGTAACGGAGGAAGAGGTGGGGTTTAGGGCTAGTGTAGGTACGGAAGAGGGATTGTTCCACATAACCTACAAAGAGGTAGGCATAGCTTGGGCCCATGCAGATACCCATGGCCACTCCCTTTGTCTGTAGGAAGTGGGAGGAATTGAAAGAGAAGTTGTTGAGGGTGAGGACGAGTTTGGCTAAGCAGATGAGGGTGTCAGTGGAGGGGGACTGGTCGGGCCTGTGGGACAGGAAGAAGTGGAGGGCCTTTAGGCCATCTGTATGGGGAATGCAGATGTATAGGGGACTGGACGTCCATGGTAAAGATGAGGTGTTGGGAACAGGGAATTGGACGTTCTGGAGGAGGTGGAGGGCGTGGGTGGTGTCATGGACGTAGGTAGAGAGTTCCTGCACTAAGGGGGAGAAAATGGAGTTGAAATAGTTGGAGATAAGTTCGGTGGGGCAGGAGCAGGCGGAGACAATGGGTCGACCAGGGCAGTCAGGTTTGTGGATTTTGGGAAGGAGATAGAAGCGGGCGGTGTGGGATTGGGGAATGATGAGGTTGGAGGCCGTGGGTGGGAGGTCACCTGAGGTGATGAGGTTGTGGATGGTTTGGGAGATGATGGTTTGGTGCTCGGGGGTGGGGTCATGATCAAGGGGGCGGTAGGAGGAGGTGTCGGAGAGTTGGCGTCTGGCCTCGGCGATGTAGAGGTCAGTGCGCCATACTACAACTGCGCCTCCCTTGTCCGCGGGTTTTATGGTGAAGTTGGGATTGGAGCGGAGGGCTGCACGTTCATTATACGACCAATTGTTACCTCAACAATTGCCATTTTTGATACATCTGCCTGAACACTTAGCTTCAGAGAGCTATATGACGGTGCCCATCCCAGTTGACTCCAAGCCTTTCCTTACTAAGGGTCCATTCAAGGTCACTTTCAAGGAATAGTTAGATTTTGATCAAGATCTGGAAATATTACAGTCACATGGGTAATAAAATTGATTTTTTGATGAAAATAAAAGCCTCTCCTGTTTAATTTATTTTCACTTTTCTTCCCCTTTGTCTTGGGAAAATATCAACTCACAGTTCATCATGATCATTGATGTCCTCCTTGTTTGGGGCAACATTTGACTTCTACCAATTTGGTTCAGAAACTTGGTGTAGGCCTATGAGTGCTAATCTACATCCCATTACACAGTTGTATTAGCAGTTAGTGATCTCACAAAGTACTGTGCTATCACATCCTCCAGTTTAATTCCACGTATCTTATATTCCACAGTATTAGATATAATGCACCTCTCTAACCTACTATTTAATCTTCGATATAACATGCATTATTTATAGCCTACTGTCTGGTAGAATAACAAAATTCTCCATCTGTAAGCAGACCTCTCATCATACTGCTTTGTTTATTGCCTGCCACAAGCTGCCCTGAGAGCTTGTCTGACAAACCACAGCATTTTGTGGCATATCTTTGGTACACCATTAACATCCCTGATGTCTGCCCTGCTAAACAAAGAGGGCCTGCTGCATATCAAGATTGTTTCCCACATCTTAAAAGACACTTTTTAATCTGAACCTCGTATTTATTTGACAAAAGCACAACATACACCCTTGATCCCTGAACTGTGAATTTCTCTCACCAACCCGCGGATGCATCATTCTCATTTACATTCTTTACTCTGAGACTGAGACCCCCTGGGCATGATTGTGATTGTTGAAAAAAGTGCTGAATGTACATTGTCTAATGGCGCCAAGCGGTGCCCCTATACGTAACCTTCCCGCTGAACAAAGTTCCCATTGATGAGGCTGAAGCTTGCCACGGAATGGTTCGTGCTTTTGAGTGATGTCATCCGCGAAGCTGTGGTACTCCTGCCCATGCTGGTCGAACGTATGAGGAGGTGGCTCCTGCAGCAGAACAGATTGTTGTTGAATTGCTTTCGGAAGGTCTTGCTCAGCAGGTAGAGAGCGAAGGGGTTAACACACGAGTTGCTGAAGGCAAGAATCCTGGCACAGATGCTGCCAACCAAATGTGCTAAGGAGGTGTCCACCTGCCTGTAATGGTAGGAACGGTATAGATAAATGATGTGGCTGGGGAGCCAGCTCACGGCGAAGAAACCCACAAACACCAGCACTGTCTTTGCAAGTCTTTTCCTGGATTCCATCTGTCAATGAAACAAAATGGAAAGGTTGAAACTTGCTACAGCAATAGCAATGTTGGAAAAGTTTTATGTGAAACTTAAAGCTTATAGTAAGCTCTAAAAATGGATCAAATCATATTGGTTCATTCTGGATAAAAAAGACTGAATAAAGCACAAAAATGCATAAAAGAACGATAGTCAGTTCATCAGACACATTTCTTCAACTGACCTTGTTTTTACATGAGACACTTAATTCTCTTAGAGAATGGACCTTTGTTGGTAAACTGGCAGAAGTGGATTTGCTGAGCATGAACTGCCTGATTTTTCCTTTATGTGAGGTGAGCAGCCAACCCCTCGTCCTCTACCATCAATATTTCATCTTACTCTGTAACATGGCCACCATTTTTGTCCAATAGATAATTGTAGAGACTTGGCCTGAATTTTTCTAATCTTACCTGTTTCTTTAGGTGTATGCAAATCAAGTTCCACCTTTCTAAATCTAATAGACATTCTGTGTTGATCTCTTTTTAAAACGTAGCCCTGTAAGAAATGAGTTAACAGCTTAGCAGAGGAAGGAACACAAAAAACAGAAGTGGAGTTTTTTCCATCTGCAGGTAAAGTGTCTTGGTGAATGAACATCATTGGGTCCAGTCCAGTGTGGCTCAGAACAATTTTATCAAGTAGTCTCTACTCTTTGCACTATAAATGGCTCGGTGGTGTCTGTCCCACAGTACCGCGCAGTGGGAGAGGTGGATGTACTCATTGCTGTCAGTCCCTCCCAGCATTCACACTGCTGCTGTTACAGTGAAAAACCAGCTGCAGACCACTTGAGACTGTGGAACTGCTCCCCCACATACAATGGTGCCTGACTATAGTCACTGAGGAGATGGCCAAAAAGGCAGGTTAGCTCCTTGCTCTGTGGACAGTGACTCTGGATGGGCTGGTGTACAGGGGAGCTGGAGGGGAGGTTATCCCTTTTTCTGCTGACTGTTAAAGGAGGCCACAGCACCAGACACAGTCAGGTTGGATCCAGATACAGGCCCAGGTCAGAGCTGTGTCCCAGCTTAAACAGAACATACAACAGTGCTGGAAGACGTACAATGACTGACTGTGTTCAGCAAGGTTGGGTGGAACCATCTTCTCTCTCCTACCTGACACTCATAGGGTAACCACTCACTCTAACTCTCCTTCTGCACACTCCTCTCACCAAAGCTCACTGTCCACAACTCTTGCCATTACATGTTTTGACACATGCAATAGTGACAGTTGATGGGTCAATGGCTCTGACCCATCTTCTTCCTTGACCTATCAACTCTTCCTGTCTGTTGTGTTTCCTGCTTATTCACTGAGGACACCGCTCCTGCTTTCCTGCTCCTCCTACATCACTACTGACTGCTCTTCGATCATACTCCACCCCTTCCTTTGTCTCATTTCAGGAAAAAACTGAACCACTATGAGGCTGCGGTGTCAGAGAGAGAGAGAAGGGGTGGTGATTGAATTTGGACAAAAGGATCCTCACTTCTTTTGAGGAGAAAATGTTCAATTTTCACTGGAGAAGTGCATGACTACTCATGTGGGAATGGGGGCATCTCAATGTCCAACCAACCCAGTAAGCTTCATTGCACTATGCTGTGTTGATCTCCCATTCATACAAGAGCTAGCTCATGCTTAATTGTCAAAAGCATTGATCCTTCTTAGATGAATAATTGCCTCTCTTTTCTTATGCAGTCACCACGAACACCCAGTGAGCCTCTCGAAAAGAGGCCAGTACTGTTGACCCTCAGCTCCACTTGCTACTTAGAGAAAACAGCCACTGACTCCTCAGAAGATACATTAGCAAATCTTACTCCTGCACCCTCCACTTGCTTAGAGAGTTTCACCTCAGCAAGTTCTCTGTCTGGATGTTATGTGAATAGACTGGAGAAGCTTTGGATGTTCTCCTGAGAGTAGAGAAGGCTAAGGAGATTTGATTGACGCTTAATGACATGAAACATTTAAATAGACTGAATAAAGAGAAATTGTTTCCAATGGCTGAAAAATGATGAACCAGAGGTCAGAAGTATAAAGTGTTTGGCAAAAAAGAAATCATGGGCTATAGGGAAAAAAGGCTTTTACCCAGTGAGTGGTTTGAATGTGGATTGTACTGCCTAAGGTAGAAACAGATAATTAGTAGCTTTCAAAAGGGAACCTGAAAGAAAAATATTTGCAGAGAATTTCTGTAAAGCATTTGAGAAGTGGGACTAGATGCTCTTCAAAAGAGCTGGCGCAGATTCAATGGGGGCCAACTGGCCTCCTTCTATAATGCACAATTCTTGATTTGAAGATTTAGTGAAATGTAAAAGAGAACACTATGTTGTTTTCAGCTAAAGGTGTTTGAATTCCATCAGGTCTTTTGCTACAATCGAGGCTTATAGTTAAAACCACAGTAATCCATTCAAGGGTCCGGTTTGTACCTGACAATTCAATTAGACACAGTATGAATTATCAAAGTGACCAGTTTTAATTCATACTGAATAGATTCATGACATCTAGAGGACAATCTTAAACACTGCATTAATTCCCGTTCCCACATTCCACCCGAGCACCATAATTGCATTCCCACGTCTTCCCTACTGAAACAGAACATACAATAGGATGTCTTTGTATGACCAGGATATGGCCATGATTAAATAATGAATAAAATAGCTTTAAGTTTTGAATGAATGAGCCAATTACTTTATCACTCCATTTAAAAACATCTGTAAACTTGTTCAGCCTTTTGACTGGCCTTTGGGTTTCACTCATGACATTTATTAATTAAGAGTCGGGTTTAAAAAGTCGAGAATGAGCTCTTGTTTCTGGTACAACACCTCACAGGGTATAGCTTGCCCTATCTGGATTATGAAGTTCTTTAAGTCTTCTTTGAACACAGAGGAAAGATATCAGATGCCAAAATAAACACTGTGCCCGAACGGATGATGCTTCAGTACAACTTTATGATCAGTATTTGCAGTTAATGTAGAATAAGCGGTTGATATGAACTAGTCTTTTCTTGTTTAAGTGTGTGAGGCTCTGACAGGGTTAATGCTGAGGATTGCCCTAGAAACCCCTAACTATGATGATGTCATATGGACTTGTGGGGGAGAACTGTATAGAATCTCAAAGGAGCTTTAAGATCTGAATCTTCCTCAGTCTTTGTAACAATGTCTATTAGATCAGTGTAACATATATAGTTGCTATTGTGCAGTTACACAACATGTTGTTTCAGACATGAGCCTCATCTCATTAGATTGCAAAGTGATATTCCTTTATCATGATAGACCAAACAGGCCTAACAGATTCCTACGCTGATAGGGGATGCTGGGAGCAAATCTGCCCCATGGTGAGCATAGAATAGAGAGCTAATACAAAATGGTGAATGGCAATGAGGATTGCTCATATAACCTACTGGCAAATGGAGGATATCATTTAGCTGTCTCTCACAGCACTGGCAACAGTGGAGGGCTTGAAATTTCTTCAGTGACAGCATAGTAGATGTCTTTACCCAAGGATGGGGGGATTTCAGGACAAGGGGGTACATATTTAAGGTGAGAGGAGAGAGGTTAAAACAAGACATGAGGGCAAATTTTTTACACAGAAGGTAGTTTGCATGTGGAAGGCAGTGGTGGATGAGGGTACAATTACAACGTTTAAAAGACATTTGGATAAGTACATGAACAGGAAAGATTTGGAGGGATATGGGCCAGGAGCGGGTAGGTGGGACTATGTTCAGCGTGGACTGGTTGGACTGAAGGGTCTGTTTCCGTGCTATATGACTATGTCTGCTCATGCAGATGATCGGGATTTGGAAGAGCTGGCAGAACCTGACAGAAGAGAGCCTCATGGCAAAATTCAACACGACAGAACCTACCCTCAATGGTAAAGGCTGCAACAGCAGGAGAGTGTTTGGTATTCCCTGGACCTGGAGTATTAGTCACTTACGGACTCCAAATAAAAACAAAATCCTGCATATGCCGCTAATCTGAAATAAAAACACAAAATGCTGGAGAAACTCAGCAGGACTGGCAGCATCTGTGGAGAGAGACAGAGAAACAAAAAGTAACGATAAGTAGCCTTAGTTCCTATCAAGTATTGCCATCATAGTGAGCAGGTATGACAAGGCATGGTTACAGTAAGGGAAATCTAGGGCCATAAAAGCAATTCAAAACTAGATCACAGACTCAGGAATGTCACACAGCTAGAATTAGCGTGATAAAGGGGCATCTTAGAAGGCTAACAAGACAAAGTGCAATGAAAGGAGTAAGGCAGCAAACTATTGAAGCTACAGAAAAGGGAAGGTCACATTATGAAAATGCAATAAAGGCATTAAAAGGCATTATTCAAATCACAGACAATGGGAGTCCCTCAGAAAAGCAATTAAGGAAATCGGGTTCATCTTATAAAGTTGCAAATCACAGGAAGTCAGTTACTGAAAATATATTTAGAATGGCGATAATTTATTAAAGGCACAGGAAACAAAACTCATCAAGTGAAGCTTTAAGGAAAAGCATATCAGTCATTAAGTCTAAGGTTGCCAAGATTCATCCAGAGAAGCCATGAAAAAGGTATGAATCCTCTATTTTATTCACAAAAGGCAAGAATCCTCAATTTTATTTGCAGAAGGCAGGAATCATCAGTTTTGACTGCAGAAACATGGGAAAACCCAAAGCAACACACAGCATTGTGATGATTACACTGCAAAATGAAAAGCCTCTAAAGCAAGGAAAATAAATGATCACATTAGGGGGTATGATATCAGAAATAATATTGTCAGGAAGATTTACTTTCAAAGATAGACCAAATATAACATAGAATTGTATTAATCTTTGAGAAAACATTTCTTACGATACAAAATAGCTTCCCTTTAGAAACTAAATCAGAAGCAAAACAAGTAAATACACTTTTGTACACAACTGGGAGTACAGCAGATGAAGTCATATCTCACCATGGGATAAAAGAAGCAACCGGTATCTCTGAGGGCTTGGAAGAGGGAACATCTTCAGAAC